GGGGGGGGAATAAGTTAGAAAAAAATTGGTCTCAGAAAAAAGCCGAGGCCTCCAGGAGCAGCAGAGCTTGCAGTTTGCATGGTCAGCTATGTAGATGAAGGCTATTTTAGAACAAATTTATGCTTTTAACTATTTTTGCATGAATTAGCAGGACCTCTTCAACATAATTACACTATCTAAACCCAGCAAAATTGCAACAGGCTGAATAACGGTGTGTTTTAGGCACAAACAGTTCAACGCTGGCTGCACCCGCGCAGCCGGAGCCACAGAAACGCCATTTGCACAGGCCAGTCCCGGCGGAGAAGCAAAACTGGCTGGATTTGGCAACGGGACAACTTTGCGCATCCAGCAACGAGCTTTGTCACTCCGTGTCACGCAAACGCCCCCCGAGACACAGCCCGACGTGCCAGACCTTCTGAAAGGCGCTGGCAAGCGGAGCTAAGGATGCAGGCTAGCACCTGAACTAACCAGGAAGGGTTCCTGCGCCCTCCTCCATTTTGGCTGCTCATCCCAACTGGAAAAATCCCACAGGTTTCTACGTCAGCAAAATCGCATGTCTGCGCCTGCAGAGTAGCATTTTCCTGGAGGCAAATTAAGAGAAGAGAGGCAGTGTTTAGCACGGGGATTTGAGCGAGGGCTCCCAGGCTGTTCCCAGCCTCCCAGGAGCGCTGGCTTTTGTTGCGGAAAGCATTTACCTGCTGCTGCAGGCTGGTGCGCGCAGTCACCCAAAGCGTACCCAGCGCCGGCTCAAGAGGAGCCACCGACAGCATTCGCACACGGAACAATTGCCAGGGGTTGGCATGACCTTGGGTCGGTCGCTATTCAATGCTCAGGTTTACTTTTGTTTTGTTAAAAAAAAAAAAAACAAACAAAAAACCAACACAACCCAAAAGCTCAGGAGTTGCTCAACATGCAGAGTTGTGAAAGGGCAACATTATGAAGTGACTTAAAATCCCCGCGGAGAAGCTGCCACGCAAACAGCTCCAGGATTACCTTTACCCCCAACGACCCCGCGGTTATCAAGCTACTGAGACCGCCTCCGCCAGCATCCGAACCACCTCCTGGATGCAAGGTGCCGCAATAATCACGCCAAAGAAGCTCCTGGAAGAAGGGAGTGCACAGCTGAAATCCTCTCTCCTTCCTCCTCTGCCCAAGAAAAGAGGATGCTTATGGAAGAGGGGAGGAAGTCAAACGCACCAAAACTCTCCTGATTTTGGGTCGGCCGCTAACTCGCCGAGCTCTCCTGCCACCCAGGCTGGGTTAACAGCAGGGCTGGGAAAGAACAACCGCCCTTTGTACGAGCACGAGCCTCTTCTTAACCTACATAGTTCCGCAAAGCCCAAACTAGGGCAGTTATTTTAGCAGCGCTGGGGAAGAGCGTACGGACTCCAAACTCCATCTATAAAGAAATACGCTTCTTCTAAACTTCACTGCATCAGCAGTACTGCAAGAGGCTCGCTCCAGTTACATAAACCACCGCATGATCTCTTACAACCAGTTAATGATATGAGACGCTACGTATCCTAGACATTTTAATACTATGTTATGAAAAAGAAAAAAAATGCTTGCTCAAACAATGGAGAAAAACCTCATGAACTTTTCCATCAGCTTCTTGATGCCTTACTGAAAGGACGTTTGTTCCCACTGCAGATATTTTTCTTCTGGCAATTAACTGTTCTGCTTTACCTGCACATTAACAGGGCTGCATGCGGGGCGAGCACATTTCAGCACTCCCTTTGATCACCGGGAGCCGTTACACTAACTTTTAAAACTAGAAAACTGTGACATTTGAGAGAGATTGCAGGTTATGGCCAGGTGCAAACCTGATCCGAGATAGGTTTTGTTTTGTTTTTTTTAAATGCAGGTAGATACAGATCACTACTCCAGTGTCACGCCGTGCGCGAGGCCAATTATTCCAGAAGAGCTCCTCCAGAGTAACGACGGGCACATGCCCTTACCTGAAGACGCGCTCAGAAGCACAACAATCAGGTATTTTGCTGCCATCCAAAGTCAACTGAAGTCCAAAAGGCAGCTACTGCTTGTACTTTCAAAAGCCTCACCTGGTCTCTAGTGCTTTGAAACCGATTATTGTACCACCTTTTGGGTACTCCCTCCGCTCCGTCATTTGCTGACGAGGTCAGACAGCCTTGGCCCCAAAGCCCTCAGTGTCTTTTCAATATTGCCACAAAGAATATGAGACCGCAAAGAAAAAAACCTGACGTACAAAAATGCGAAGGGAGAATTATTCCACCCAGAGAATTTGCAAGTGTTGCTCACTCACACCAAAACAGACCCCTGGAGAATAAAGGATTATCTTGACACACAGCCAAGAAATTTTCTGCATAAGCACAAGATCACAAACCTCAGAGCACCTCCTGCAAGGGTACAAGTAAAAACAGGCTAAATGGGAAAAAAAAAAGCATTCTTGGGACAAGGATCACTTGGAAAGCAGAATTGTTCGTTAACACAGCCCGTTCTAACAGGAGACACTCAACACCGCTGTTCTGGTCCTCACGAACTCTGTCTGTCTCCTCAAGACGGAAAACCTCAGTGTAACAACAAAAATAAACCAAACCCAACCCAGACGTTAGACGAGGAAGACCTACACGACCAGACGGTCCACCTACCACCCCACACGGCGCTGCTGGTCCTGAGCTCACGCGAAGCTGCGCAGAAACGGAGTCAGTCCGTATCCGGCAGACTTCGGAGTCTTTTGCCTCCTCTGCACTCGAGCCAGTTATCACCCACAAGAACTTCTAAACACGGCTACCAAACTGTGGACCAAATACAGCAAAAGTTCTCTGCTGAGGAGAACCTGTAGTTCTTCTAAAGAGAAATATTCCATCCAGCTCTTCTCAAAACCCACGAATGCCATTTTAGCTGGAAAAACCAAAAACACAGAGAAGTGACCCTCCCTTTCTCAGCTGTCTGCACACACAGAGACTGCACCGGGGCAGCGACGACGACGCTGCCGGTTTCACACTCCTGCAAGCTCTGCAGAACCAGCTCGGCTACGGCAGAGTACGCCGAACTGAAACCGTCTTCCGCGCAAAGTCAGATCCTATCAGAGGATCTGTGGCAGGGCGAGGCACAGAGAACCCGGCGTGATTACCATACCCCTGCCAGGGCAGCTCACACGCCAACGTGGGCACTTCTAGTCTGAGAAACACGGGTGCCCGGGGGCCATTTTCACCTGACTACCTGATGAAAGGATTTAATTCCACTACCCCATCCGGAGCAAAAAGCTTCACAGCCAAGCCCCAACGACAGACTCTCTGTATCCAACCAAGAGCACGAGTGCTCCCTTCCTTCTCTGTCCCACAAACCCGAAGATGAAAGGACGCCTACGCCAGCCCAACGAGCACCTTCTGCTCCCGGAGCCCCAGCCCAAAGCCACCGGGGAGGGACCGTCCCCCGGGAGCAGCCAGGAGGGAGCACTGGTAACATCCAGGCTAGAAACAGAGGAGTTATTTCATCGGGCAGTGGCTGGCTAGGAAAAAGCCCCACCCCAGGACAGCAGCACACTCCCCTCGCCCCCCCCCCCCTTCCTGTTGGGATCCCGTCCCAGCCCTTCATCTTCCTCACACCTCCCCAGCCCCCCCAGAGATCCCTCGGGGCCCTCACTCCCCAGCCCCCCCACCCCACCCC